GATAACATTATTTCATCCCACTGATCATATAACGGTAATAATAATAACCCTAACAACAAAACAAAAAATACAACAAAAATTACACAAAAACAACAAAATAATTACAAAAACAGCAAAACAAAAATTACAAAAACAACAATTACAAAACGCAACAACATCAGAACTACCTGTTGGTGACGCTGTGGTCCGAGTCCCTGGGATCCGAGGACGACGAGGAGGGCGGCGTCTGGTCCCCGGCGACGGACGAGGCCGAGGAATTGTAACCCGAGGACTCCCCCGCCACGAGGTCGAGTCCAGCGCCCCGGATGACGTCGAGGACGAGGCGCGGGGAGGACTTCAGCACGTACACCGCCTGCAGGAGAGGGAGGGAGAGGAAGGGGAGAGTGAAATGGGAGGTTCTGATGAGAGGGCGAGGGGAGGGGCTTGTAAACCGTGGTAAGGGGAAGCGATGGTTAATTGTTTGAACTTCTCTTGTTTGGTAGAAAAAGAAGAAATGTGGTAATAAAGAAAATATAGTAAGTGTGATTGATTATTTGAAGAAATGTTATTGGATGGTATCAAAATGAGGATAAAATTCCCTCGCATCTGCACAGTTCGCCCGGCTCAGTCAATAATATCCACTAGAAAAAAAACACAAAGGAAAAAAAAACGCCATAATAAAAATGCCATTTTATAAAAACACACCTCGAAAATCCAAAACATAATAAAATCTGAATATAATAAAATCCGAAAAAAGATGACGAGCGGCGTTCCTTACTCGGCAAATTCCAAGTGCGTGAAGCTGACGTCATTACAGGCGATGATCTGGTCCCCCGGCCGGAGCCCCGCGTTCCTGGCGACGCCCCCGCCACGCACGCTCTGCACGAAGATCCCTGGCTTTTCCGCCGGGCCCTTGCAGATGCTACGGCAGAAGGAGAGAGAAAGAGTAGGTCAGGGACTTTAACAAGCCTTCGCGTAGTTAATCAGCTAATAAACACCCCTCATTCAGATTATGAGTCACATGTCCCCTCCTCTTCCCTAAACCCCCCTCATCACACAACAACAAACACGAAGCGGATCCCGACCCTCGACCCTAAAAGGCCCACTCCACCCACCCCGCCCCACCCACCTGCACCCGAGGCCGATCTTCCCCGTGCACGAGATGTAGACCCGCGCGTGGTTCTCGTTCCCCCCATGGCCGACGCTGGGCTGCGCGGGGGGCGTCGGCTCGAACTGCTCCTGCTCGCTCTCGTGAGCTGAGGGCAGGGACTGGCTGTAGGTGTCCGTGCCGTGGTCGGACAGGTCCTCGTCGTCGTCCACCACCAGCCACGTCAGGGGGTCTCCGCGGTGTCTGCAAGGGGGGCGTGGCGTGAGTAAGGAAGAGGATGGTGGTGGGGGAAGGGGGAAGGGGGAAGGGTTGTGAAGATGGTGGTGGATATCATGAAAGGTAAGGGAGGCTGAATACAGATGATGATGATAATAATGATGATAATGATGTTGGTGATGATGATAATGATGGTGATGACTCGATGATGCCTATAAGAGCAAAAACGATTGATTGATGAATGACATACAAAAGACTGTACATCAGAGAGGCCAAAGAGATAGTGTAGATTCCATTTTACCTATCATGGAGCACTCTATATCTATATTCTTTCACAACCCTCACAACGCTTATTACCAAGTGAAAAAAGAAAAATAATCGACATATAGAGTACAGGTGTTTCTTCATCACTAAATCTCACCCACTCACCCACCTGTTAATTAATCCATGGCTAGAGATAAGGACTGGATCAATCTACGTCAGAGAGGGAGAGGGAGAGAGAAGAAGGGGGAGGGAGGGAGAGAGGAAGGAGGGAGGGAGGGAGGGGGAGAGGAGGAGGGAAGGAAGGAGGGAGGAAGGGAGGAGGGAAGGAGGGAGAGAGAGGAAAATAGGGGGAAGGAGAATTAGATAGCTGGATAGACAGGACAGACAGACCAGGCAGACAAATAGAAGCAAGAGAAGAGAACGAGTGAGTGAAAAAACAAGAACGTGACCCAAGTGACCTCATCCGAATAACTCACTCTTGACGGGGATGATTCCGGCGCTCTTGACCTTCAGAACGACGGAGGACTTGCCCTGAACCATGGCCGTGACCTCGTGGTGAACCGCTCGCTCCACACTCAGGTTGTTCACGCGCAGGAGCTGGTCGCCGCCTACAGGAGGGAAGGTGTCCGGTGAGTAAGGGACGCGAAAGGGCCTGGCTGTGCGCACACAAACACAGACACATATGCGTGCATATATGTATGCATGTGTATATATAATATATCTACATACACACATAAATATAGATACAGATACACACAACACAACAATCACTCTCTCTTTCTCACACACACACACAAAGGCGCCCGCGCAATTATATATATATATATATATATATAATATATATATATATATATATATATATATATATATATTATATACATAATATATATACATATATATATATAATATCTATATTATACATACTATATATAT